TCTGCTAGATGAGACAACAACCTACGACAAATCAGAAATTCCATGCAATATTAACTTCAGTGATATTTAATTTCTCCAATCAGCTCGTCAAGTCATTAAGACCCCAATGGAGATCAAAGAAGAAGTTGAAACAGTTCACGAAAGTCATTTATCGCGAATTTGCGGCGATTTTTGTTTTTTGTTTTTGGTTTTCCAGATACATGATACAGGATTGTCTGTAGGTTGCAAAATTTTTTCATCCTTACATTATAGTATCAGTTCCCTGCTATAACTAGGATTGGATAGTTGGAAACTACAGAAAACCCAAACCTGTTGTCCCGCAAAAGTAGCTGCATTGTGACCGAGAGAATATTATCGAGGGTAATATTGCTAGGGACAATAATAAAGCAGTGTTGTCACAAAATTATTTTAGCACCTGATTGCAATAGATAACATGTCGAAAAAGATTGTCAAATTATTTTTGGCAATATTTTTGAAACATTGCAAAGAGAGGCTTTGAAAAACACATTAAAAGCATTGATGAAAAAACATGGGGATAAATGATTTAGAGCCCTAATTGACCCATTTTGATAATTAAATTACCATTTTCAGGACCTATAATGCAGATCAAAATCAAGTAGTAAAACAATCTCTTGGAAATGAATAGCACCAATCCAAAAGCATGCACTACTGATAAAAAACAAGGGGCTGGTTAAGGCTACTGTGAATTGTAAATAAGTAAGCCACAAGAATGAAAATTTGGAACATGTTGATCTTGCACCTAGGTCTGAGAAATTTAATTAGAGTTCTCTAATAGAAACCTAATTGAATTTGAGATATCATGCGATTTTCTTAGAGGGTGAGCCGATTACCTATCATTTCTATTTATTGTACTTTACTTAGTTGCAAATTGAAGGGAGTTAAATTGAATTACAGAGTTATGAAAGTCAGTCAGTCAGTTCAAAACGAAAGTTCACCCATACCCTTGACCAAGTATGAACGCCCGGTACATTTGAGAATGTTCCTTTCTGGCAAATTAGTACGATGGGTATAGTTTTGCACAGAATTAAAAAAAAAAGACTGAAGGCCCCCTCTTACACTTTCATCCTCTCTGGATAAATAGTTAAAACTGCATTCAAAGTTTCCTATTTCCTCTAATATTTAAAAGGCACCCTATGACCCCTACACTCAACCCTTGGCAAAAAATGAGTGAACAAGTAGTCAAAATACTTTAAAAAATAAAGAATGATTAAAAAAATAATATATATTATTGGAGGCAAATGTCACCTCATTCTGTGACAACTGTTAGTAACCAGAAAAGTGAAATAATTAAGAGACTGCACAGCAATTGCATATCTAATCTTGGTCTAATTATGAAAGGTTAGCTAAGTGTCACAAAATAATATCAATGTCATTCATTCTTTATGCTGACATAGTAAGTGACAGGAGAAAATAATAGTATAAAAATTGATAAGATAACAGTTCCAGACAGAAAGGTCATTGCTTTATCCCTCAGAAAACAACAAAAACAAAACATTCTCATACCGGTTCATTCATTTTCCACACTCGCTCGTGAATGCAGGGCGGTTCACACTTGCTGTATTTCCTCTCACTTTTCCCCCATGGAACCAACTTTGCTCCGCTTCAACTAGGATTCTTATATTGAATGGCAGTACTAATGATACTGATCTAAGATGAGCGGTGAAGCTGTTGATTAATAATTAAAGTACCGCACCAATTAAGGCAGATATTTTCTTAGACAGATTACACATTATATCCGCTGGGTTTGGGTGATAAGGTTGCTAAAATCTTTTTGACGGTAGGTGGATTATAGTTTCTTACGATCAGACATAAATAACACCTGCTCCGAAGATTTATTAGAGTAAAATCACTGACCAGTTGTATGGATCAGTATGAATAAGAAGAGTCTGGAATTAGAGTACGGCTAGATGTTTGAAAAACTTGAAATATTCAAATTATTCAGGTATCTAAGTGAACGAGAGTTGTGGGTTGAGACCATATCAATTAGGATAGAGGGTACCGAAAATTTTGACTTGCTCAGAAGAGTTTTCCCTACTGCAAAATTAATCCTAGTGAGTGAGATTCTGTTGTCAATAAAAAATGATGGAAATATTGACACATGATAAGAAGAGAATAACCTACAAAATTTCTCAACTAGGGATCACTGCCCTCCATCTCTTGCTACTACGATTCAACGACAGTAAACACTTATGTCAGTGCACAGCAACCTTAAAAGTGACGGATTGAACTGAATATTTGATGGAAAATGTTAAAAAGAAGTGATAATTAGGAAAAAAGCGACTATAATTTGGTCCCTCAAAGCTAAGATGCTGAGCAGGGAGGACCTCTCATAGAATTGAAATAACAACTTACTTCGGGCAGTTGCCACCAAAAAGTTAGTATCAAAAGAAGAAACACTTCAAAAGCTATCAATTAAGTAATTTACCTTTTCTTTTGCCCGGCCAGCGTGTTTAGAAACGGATTTAGCGATTAAAGCACCTTTACTTTCAGCCATCTTCGGATCACCCAAACACAAAAACTGGTTCATTATACATGTTCCGGTACACACCTTATCAAGAAGGAACGGTTCGCGAGACTGAACTGGTGATAACAGGCAAGGAACATGAATGAAACATTTCCCCCCTACTTTTTGAATTCCCTACTACTCACTCTCATGGGACTTCATTTCATTATTTACCGGAGAAAATAATTTAGGTGGGCGACGGAAGAGTGTCATGCAACACCTGTTTGCACGTTAGGATTCAAAGGTGTTAATTGCTCATTGAGCTCTTCATGAATTTGATCGGTGCTGGAATATTTAAGCCCGCAGGCACAGGGACAAAGCGAAGATCTTCAGCCTCATTTTTGCAATTTTATATCTTCTGTTGCTCCATCTCCTTCAAAAAAAATTTAGAGGGTCCATACTCATTATGAAAATTCATGCAAAAAGCAGAAGTACCATCCTGAAAACTATAGCTGGATTTTTTTGGTACGTTGAAAAAATGTCTCATGGCCCCTTGAAGTTGGAAGTTTTGGTTTAAAACTATTTTTCTCCTTTTTTTTGCTGATAGTTAGCCTTCTTCACCCACTTTTGAACTTTAAGTTTTTACTGGTGTACCTAAAGTTCTCATGACTAAGTATACTCATTTCATAGGAAACATATTGCGTATTTAAAACGAAAAAATTTTTCAACAAAAATTGGGAGAAAAATTCATTCATTACTTTTCAAGGTTTTAAGTAGAAAGCCACTTTATAGCATAATTCAAAAACTGACGAAAAGATTTTGACAAATTTTCTTCAAAATGGGTAGGTACGCAATTTTCTGTTTTGATTAAATTATGTGGGAAACTTTTCACCTCTCTCTCAAAATCTATAAAATTTCTTCCACAATTATTAGAAATTAGTTCAACAAAAGTTTCAAAGCCTCAAAATTTGAATAACAAGTTGCAACTGGATTGCACTGATGCTTTTTCGACCAAATATATATATCTTCTGAATTTTCTGTTCTAAAGGTACAATTTTAATTCCCTTTTCAATGCATGTTCAGAGAGATGGGAAAAATAAAAAAATAAAATCGATTTGAAAGAATAATGATTGGGTATTTATTAATTATAAATGAACTTAAGAAAACAGGCTATATCAGCCTGAAATCAAGACAATTTCAAAAATATATGTTTAAAAATTAAATCGAATTATGGCAGTTGGTGAAAAATAACATTTGATAATAAAACAAATAAACATGATGATGATTATGAAATCTATACAGGTAGTATGAAAAGGAGAGACCTGTCAAAAATAAAAATTCAGGATCCTTAACAATTTCCCGACTCAAAAATGAGTCATCTTGACTTCAGTAACACTTTCTTACCGTACAAAATACTATAGTAAAAAGAATTATTTTCTTCATTTTCACAGAAAGGAAAATAATTTTAACTTCAAAAGTCGGAAATAAAATTAGAATAAACCCTGAGGCCTACACAGAATTTAGGTGATTTTTCAAGGAGAGAATTTGAAAAAACAAATTTTTCCTACAAAAGGAAAGTTCAAGATGTCATTCCACAAAAAAAAATTAAAAAGAAAAAAAAAGTAATAAAATACAAAATTGATGACATCATTTTTCACTTTTTCTCTATAATCATGAGACAGACTAAAAATCATGCAGCTCTATTACATACACAAAACTTAGGATTATTCGGATTTGGTGGCCAAAACGCAGACTCAGGAAGCGTAGCATTTATTGTTAAAAGTGTAAGGACACCGTACCATAGTTTAGGCAGTGGTGTAGAAAACATGCCAAGAAAGCACTGATACTACTTGAGGCAAATTTATGACTTGCAAAGAAGTTGGACGATTTGATAAGTTTTTTATGAAATTTTGTCGGTTGAGCACAAGCTCAGCATGGAACAGGGTAGGTCTCAGCTGTAGCATACAAATGTAAATGCTGTGAAAAGCATACTGAAAGTCCGATTGTTGAAATTTTTGGTTTGCCGACTGGACTTAACAAGACTACGGAGGAATTTAGTCATATGATTCGTCGATTTTCTCAGTTGGTTGGAATTGATGACAGACTGTCAGCAATTCAAGAAATGACTTAAGCTTGTTGTCGATTCCACAGGACATAGGGACAACAAAAAGAACAACCCTACAAAGTCGACGGATAACGTAACTCCAATCCTCCTTAGTCTTGTCTTGTCCCAGCAATTGACACATAATTTTTAACAATTGAGCTGCTGCTCTGAACTAGGAAATCTATGACTTTGAGGCAACATCAATATTACTGCTGGCATTGTATAAGATAATTGATAACAATACCTTTTTACTTTTTCACTCTCGATATTACCCACCTCAACACTTAAATCACTGCTTAAATGCTTACTTTGATATTTTTTACACTTGAACGTATTAACCTAGTGAGCCGCCTGTTTGACGGTCATTTGAAATTTTAGACTTTAAAAATTAGTTTTTTCTTTAATGAAAAAAAAAAAAAAAAAAAAAAAAAATTGCCTCTAAAAAGGGATTACATATATTGTGAAAAATTTCATGGTTTAAATTTTCTAGGAATTCTAGGACTTAGATTACTATCTAAATACACACTTATTAATAGATATAAGGTACTATATCTATATTATTATCACAGCCTTGGCAAATTATTTACATCTTTTTGATGCTTTAATTTCCTTTGAGAGAGAGAGCTTGTGTATTCACATCACACAGATCGAGATAGATTTTGTTGCAAACTTTTCAGTTGATTGTTTGTTTGGAGCAGAAGCTGTTTGTACATTTGCACCTCTTTTTCTTTGCTTATCAGTTGTTGCCGATAGAGTTTCACAAGTGCTTGGGATGCGCTTAGCTGTTTCACAACTTCATCAAAATCTGACTCGTCGATTCTGCAAGAATTTTCTGCCTCATTCACATTGAAAGTATTCAATGCCTCTTTGAGTTCAGCCTCACTATCAGAAAATTTACCCTGAAACAAAATTTGATGAGAGATTAGACTATTATGAATAAATCACTTTTATTGAAATCAGGATTTTACATTATGCACTGAGAAGACTTTTGATGGGTGCAATCGCAGGACATCAAATTGACTTAATCCCGGAAATTTCTACAATACTCTTGACCCATTGACTTAAACCGATGGCTCCCAGCCGTCCGCGCTGCGCTGGGCCAGATCTGAAAAGACGGCTCAGAGCCGTCGATTGTTGTCCGTCGATTGTTGTCCGTCGATTGTTTGCGTTATTTCGGCGATTTTCCGGAAGATTGCGTTCTCATCAATGTTTATATGAGTAGTGTAGTCACCCTATGACTTATTGTGTACAGTAATTTCTTATTTTGTTACGGTATTTTTATATTACTGTGCGTTTGCGCATGAAATAACCTCAAAATTTTCTGATTTTCGCTGATTTTGCGATTTTCGCAACTTTGACAGCTATAAACCACAATAAAAAAATCGTTATGTCAAAGTTTTCACCATTTTTCTCAAACTTTGTATTGTGAGAGCTTATTGTGTCAATGTTCACCCTTAGAGAAATAATTTTTGGTCTATTTTGAAGTGTTCAAAGTTACTGATTTTCGCCAAATTAAATCGTAGTTCCTGGCCCGGCAGGGTCAAATTAAATCATAAGTCAATGGGTTAAAACATAGTTTCCCTACAGAACAAAAGCTGGTGTCAAAGCCATCACAAGGCCCATCAATTCGCAAAACTCCTTAAAATCAAGCAGTTTAGCTGACTTTACCACAGCACCAGCCAATCTGAAAGTTGTGAAACACTTATGCAGTTATGTTAGACTTTCTCTAGGAAAGCATTAATTAATGCGGCAATTTCTACAACCAAGTTTCTAAAAGATTCAGACACAATTTGGCTAAAAGTGCAAAACAATATGCTACGACCAATGATGACAAGGAAGATAAAAACAACTTTCGGCTGAACGTACAGTTCCTTTTCCAAAAGATGTTGAAAAGCTTAGTGCATTGAAGTTATCATTATTTAGACGGGGGAATAAACTTTCCTGAGGCGCAAAATCATACAGCTTTTAGTAGAGGCACATCTTCACACAGCACTTTACTCTGCTGATATGATGATCATATGATTCAGTGGAGGGTGCTTGCTTACTATCTCCAATGTTGCCTGTGCTGAACGTTACTTGGGTAACCTTGAATCAAAGTTAGTACTCGCATCACCAAAAATGGACTATCCGCTTATCCAGATTGTTTATAATTATTTGTGATTAAATGGGCCATGCCATTGCTGTCATTCTGTTTTTTCTGGAATTTTAGCCATTTTTTAAAAGTTTTATCGATATAATCAGCATTTTGGTACTCTGCTCTTTCGATTTTCAAAATTTTGGCAATATTATGTTGGTACGTTTTCAAGAAATTTACCTTTAAAATCCGCTAAAATCCCCCCAATTATTCGCTTATAGACGTATTTCCATACGCTTCAGCTTCAAATGGCGTGACCAATCAGAAAATGGATAGTCCATTTCTTGACTGATCGATTGCTTCTCCGCGTAAGACAGAAGTGTGAGCGCTTACTTTGATTCGAGGTTACCCTAAACACTACTAGACCCAAAACGCGCAACAAGAAAAATCCTTTCTGTTGTAATATACTGCAATTTTTAGATGCATCAAATCATTCTTTGTATGAAAAATCTTAAGATCACTTGGGTCATCTGAACTCTAATCAAGTCAATAATCAGTTTAAGACTTGATCTAACTTTTGAGTTAAGTCATGTTTGCAGGACTCGACTTGGTTTAATTTAAAATTGGAGTACTTGCACAGTTCTATGAAAACGCTTCAAATTTAGAAGAGAACAATAAATATAATGTGTCAATAAGTGAAGGAACATACCGGTGATTTAGGAGCAGATCGAAGTAAGATCTTGTTGTTTTTCTTTAATTCTCGGAGTTGATCAGCTCTAATTTTTATAATTCTTTTTCCTTCCAGGTTTTTATTTTTTAGGTGTAATGAATTGACGTGTACTATTTCTTTAGACTGGGATTGATTTTTTTTAAGAGATACTTCTGGACTGGTCGCTGGAGATTCTGGGGCTCGTCCAGAATTGTTGAGCAAGGAAGAAGGCGACAGTGCCGGAATTTCAACAGCTTTCAATGCCATTTTTCCAGCCTCTGGAAACAATAAGCAGAATCGAAATTTGAATAAGAAGAGGATGACATTAATGCACCTGATATTCTACATACAATGTATGCTGCAACATGCTAAGAACTCCAATGTCTCTTGCACATATTTCTACCAACACCATACGTTTACTGGGATGACTATCTTTGTATGTCATGACGGTACGTCTGCTGACAATTTTAACAGTACTGAGCAATTTTTTCACAAAAATTGCAGGTCAGCTGCGTAAGATTTCAAAAATTGCATTCACTGCTGCAGAGCTTGAGGTATGCTTACAATGTTTATTGGGGCTGTCAGAGTTTTGCACCAGTATTTTCGGCTTGACCATTCAAAACTATAGGATCAGCATAAGCGGATCGCATCAATATATGATAATAGATGGTAGCCCTAGATCTCATTATTGGTATAGTTTGGTTTGCAATTAATCGCTGAATGAAGTTTTGGAGGAACCGAAGTCAGCAAACAATACTTCAGTCAGTTTGGACTAATGATGTAGGAGGCTAGCATCGATATTGATGAGACAATATTACTTAGAAAATGTTTTATGAAGCTTGGTTTTTTGCTTTCACAGTGTAGGATACTATTCAAAGTATTAACCACAGTGGTAAAAAAATAAATTGCGATTTTCTAAAAGCAATTTTTTCTAGATTTTAGAGTTATTTCAATGATTTTCTAGAACCTTTTCTAGGTTTACCATATTTTTCCTAACTGTCACCACCCTTTGTACTGGCCCCTAAAATGCCCTTTGAGAGTGAATGCTACATAGGGGAGAAATGAAATATTTACCTGTTAAACACACAGTTTGTCCATTTTTGACAGCAGATGCCACAACTGTAGAATCGTCATTCGGTAGCATTTTTATTCCGTGATTTTCCAATATTCGCAAGGTACGGGCTTGCCTCTCAGCTTCACTTGGTGAAAGACTACCAGAATCTAAAAGACAAAGAGAAATGGTCAAAAGTTTTTCACAGCACAGAAAAATTACCTTTGTTTCCCAATGCCTATAGTTAACAGGTTAGGTTGCAAGAAAATAATTATCAGGAATTTTAGCAGATTTCATCATTACAATAATTATATTAATCATCAAATATGGATAAAAAAAATAATGCAGAAAAAGCATTGTTGAACAAAATTGGTGACAGTAAAGGATTCCGAACCACACAGAGCCGAATTTAGGTTTTTGCAGCCTGGTGCCAAAATAATGTTACCCCCCCCCCCCCCCCCCCCCCCNGCTCCGATGTAAACAGTGTAATATGTTATAGAACGTGTGATGCGCACAAAAATATAAGTTTTAGAGACACAATAAAAATGTAAATCTCATTCTGCAATAGTGAGATGGAAGTCCACAGTTGTGCAGAAAAGTGTTGCAAACAAATATTTTAGTCAGTTGTGTATGTATTCAGTATTTATGCAGCGGCCACTGCCATTTACTTATACAGATTCAAGTTTTTATGCAAAATTTCCAGGGTGATCTCCGCCAGCAAGGCTATCTTTAGGGATTTAACATGTGTGCAGCATTAAGTATAAACATTAGTAGACATAACAATAATAGAAGCCATGATGACATCAACTGCCACATTTGGTTGGCGTCCCATCTTTTTCGGCACAAAAGTCTGATTTTTGGATGTATTTTTCTCTCAATGTCTGGTGAATCTGAAACTCTTGCAAGCGCTTTTATAGGAAAATTTCATACTTTGATAGGGATAACTTATACTTGTGTGTGAAATAAGCTCTTTCTTCGAGTTTGCTTTGTTTAGGAGAAAAAAAAACAACTAAACTCTAGGATAAAACTTCCAATACCTATGTACAAGACAGTGGTTTTTATGAGAGCTGGTAAACATTCAAATTAAAACTAAAGAGAAACACAGCTTCAAACAAGTCCAATTTAGAAATACCTTGGAAAAATGGTAACACTTTGTCTATTGCATCATCTTCTGCTGCTGCTTCTTGTACTTTCCGTTTTGCTGGAGGGCCATCAGTTGGTTTCGATTTTCTTTTTTGTTTTCGGTTCACAGAAGCAGAACGCGGATGTTCTGAGTGTTCTTTAACAACCAAAAAATAGAATATAGTAAACACACGAAATTTTAATGAACAGGTGATGGGTAAAAGTCAAATTAAATTTGACAAAATAACACAAATAAAAGTTTAGACGTAGGATGACTTATTCACTTTTTCTATCAGCAAGTTTGACATCGTTTATTCGTTAAGAGAGCAACTCCAGAAACAGTAGCCGATATGTTCCACATGCTGGTTCCTCCCAGATAAATTACGAAAGATAATGGGGAAGATCGATCTTCTAATCAGAGAATGAATCAAACAACTGAACAATCCTCAAAGTTTCGCGTGCTGATCGTGAGGATATATGAACATCTATTCAGACATTGCCACTTCTGCTAAGCATGATGATGATGAAATCGATGGCCAAAAAGCAATACAACGTATCTCCATTGTGGTCTTTCAAAATTTTCGTTCTTGTTTTTTTTTCTCGAAGAGAAACAAACCTACTTTACGGCTTGAAATTTAGACAGAATATTCTGCTAACAATGAAGAAAAATCAAGGTACTCAGTTCTCAAGAGATTACGCTGACTAGTTTTCCACAGAAAAAAAAAAGCATGACAGGAAGTCTGCCACACATAAAACGTAGATACATGGTTTTCCACTTTTGTCATAGAAATCATCACTAATATCAAACAACAAAAATGATAACACAAACAAGGATGAACACCCAAAAATTGTCTCCTAACAGGTAAGCAAGCCTTCGAACCTGCTCACTAGTTGGGCTCATTATTCCTGTTTCACAATGTCAATATTTCAACAAATACCTCTTCTCACAAATTCAAGCAATGGAAAGCAAAATTAAGAACTTCTATTTTAGGCTATGCGGACGAAAATCAATCACTTCTGCTCATCTTAAACACACAAGTTTCTATGTTGAACTTTCCCCATTAGAATTCGGTAACTCATGTTTTTTCTTCTTTAGCCATTTGTGTGCCAGTTCCACCTCTGAATTGGATGAATCTTCCAATCCTTTGAGATCCGGGACAGAGATGGAGCACTGTTCGACAAAATTCATTCATATGTCTTTAGAACCTACATAGACGCACAAACAATTTGAGGTTCATAAATTTCAAATACATACCATCATCCTCTTCATCAGAGTGAGAGCTTTTTATTTCCACATCCTTTGATGTATCCTCTGATTCCGCATTCTTTGGTGAATCCTTCAACTCTTGTTTGAGTTCTTTGGTTGAGTGATTCTGCATCAATAGAAAAAGAAGAAATATAGTAAAAATGATACATTTTTCACATTTTCAATGATGTGCTCTGTACATGGAAAGAAAACAAAGTACTCAGGGGAAAATAATGAGAGGAAAATTTCGCTGGACAGAGTATTGAAATGGCAAAATACAGCCAGCATAAATATAACAATACAGCGTAGAGCACCAAAAATGTGGGAGACACCGAACAGGATAGCAAACATGTTTCTTACTATTAAATTGGTCAACTGCACAGAATCGTCAACCCCTCTTACCTACTCTCATTAAATAATCATGTGTAACTACTGGCAAAACATTGCTGCTAAAGTAATCCAGCAATCTGTGTACTTTAATTTAAATTATTTCTTTTCTTATGACTTGTTCTGGCATATGGTGAGTTTTTCTAAGTTTTTCAAGTTGAATAAAAATGTAGAAAATGTTCTAATTTTTAAATTTCTAGTCAGATTAGACAAAAAGATGCTTAATGAGAATAAAGAAAAACAGGAGGGAGCAAAATTTGTTCCACCAAATTTGAGATTTGTATCTTTACACAGTATGCTCTCCTGAGCGTCAATGTATTTTCATTTTGCAAGCACTAGTTCTGGAGCACTGAGAAAACATACCACAATTAAATTTGAAATATCTTGATTGCCAACTTCTTCTGCAATTTGTGAAGCTGTTTTTCCAAATTTGTTTACAACATGGATATCAATTCCATATTCTAGCAGGATTTGAACACACTGGTGATGTTGATTTTGACAGGCCCAATGCAAAGGAGTCATTCCAAGCTAAAAAGTTAAAAGTAGAATTAATACGTTTCATGGACATTAACAGAATTGAAATGAGATAAAGTTGGCTTTGAATCTTTCAGTAGAAAAGAGGACTAAACGAATGATATGCAACGAGCTGGACTGCTCTTTACTGAAAAGAACATATTTATCAGGTAATAGATAAAAAATAAATACTAATTATCAAGTATTATATAAATATTCGTTTTGAATATTAATCAGCAATAAGCAAATCTTGATTAGGAGTTAGAAAGTACTATTAGGAAAAGAGTTCCCGCTTTTCTAACTGGAGAAAGTACCTAATGGCCATGCCACACGTATTTATTTTGTTAATCGCCCACAACATGCCGGAAATGCACAGGTTAATCTACATATAATTTGGAGGTAGATCAGTGCAAGTTTGGCACTAATGCCGAAACTATGTTGCAAAAAAGAATTCTTAGATTCAGTCATCTTATTTGCTCATTAGACGGGTTCAACAGTAATCCTTGGGAAGGGGCCTTCCCGAAATTGCATAACGCTAAATTTGCGGTTTTTTGACAGCCCCTCTCCTGGAATGCTCTGTAACGCTGTAATTGACCCCCCCTCCCCCCTATAAAAATTACATCATGCTAGACTCCCCACAGTTGGATAAAAAATAATCCAAATATCACCTAACATTTACAGAACGGACTAGTGTTCTTATATGGTGAGGAAAAGTGAAAGTATTTCAGAAAATATTTTCGAAATTCTTCATAACTTCTAAAGACGACGACAAAAAATTCTGCAGAAACTCGAAAGAAAATCACTTAAACTCATCGCGTAACACTTCCCTCTGTACACCCCACCCCCC